AGAAATAATAAATTACTGGTTAGATATTTTGTTACTCTGGTTAGTTTAAGCCTAGATGTTATTATAGGAAAGTAAATGATTATGTGCGTATATAAGTCTCAACCATGCCTTCTACCGTTACTCCTGAAGATGGTCTCATAGGATACTGAAACATGTGTAGTCTTTATTTAGGGCAAGTCCTTGTTTTTGATAACTATTTATTGTGTTATGATTTTAACACTGTGTTCCTTTTAATTGTAAACAGATGTTTTACACAACGTCATTTTAAATCATTTTAAGTTCTAAATGTTATTATCTTCTTGATAAAATACAGCTAATATTTTGATGGACTACAAATGTAAAAATATTGCTTTTTCCATGACTGTTATGTTTTACTTTCATGAGACATACAAGACTTCCCAGTACACACACCTAAGTGTACTCAGATAAACATATTCCTCATTCTTTTCTATATGACTGAGGTACTGTTCTATCCAGAAGTAAGTAGGTATATCTGGATCAAAGCTAGGGCAATGCACTGTTAAATGATTTATACGTTTTTTAAAATATTTGTCAAACTGAACAATTTTCTCTAGTTAATCTCTACTACATTATGGAATATTACTTGATAACAAGGTGCCTTAGTCTTACAGCCATGTCTTTCACCAACAATTGTGTTCTATATGCAATAATTTACCACAGGAGACTTTCACTCAACACAATGAAGTTAATATTGTTTTTTTATGATTCCTCAATAGGGCATGGATGATAACTTCCAACAGCCCATTTAATGTTGTTCTTTTTATGATTCCTCAAGTCCATCAATAGAACATGGATGATAACTTCCAACAGCCCATTTAATGTTGTTCTTTTTATGATTCCTCAAGTCCATCAATAGAACATGGATGATAACTTCCAACAGTCCATTTAGTGTTGTTCTTCTTTATGATTCCTCAAGTCCATCAATAGAACATGGATGACAGCTTCTGACAACCCATTTAATGTTGTTCTTTTTATGATTCCTCAAGTCCATCAATAGAACATGGATGACAGCTTCCGACAGCCCATTTAATGTTGTTCTTTTTTATGATTCCTCAAGTCCACCAATAGAACAAGGATGACAGCTTCCGACAGCCCATTTAATGTTGTTCTTCTTTATGATTCCTCAAGTCCATCAATAGAACATGGATGACAGCTTTCGACAGCCCATTTAATGTTGTTCTTCTTTATGGTTTTTCAAATCCATCAATAGAACAAGGATGATGGGACCCAATGGCCCATTTGAGCAATCAAAATTCCTGAAAGTCCATGAGAGATACATCTGGTAATTTAACTGGTAAGTATATTAAATGGTATCGCATGAATCAGCATCTTATGGAAGAATTGTGTGTTTTCTTGGAAATGATGCTAGATGCTTGAAGTTATTGTCATCCATTCTGTACAAGATGGTATTTCCTGAAGGTACAGTGGTATCAGCACATCTGTACACAGAGTTCACCTTGGCTTGGGGTAAAACTGTCAGTAAAGTTCACCTTGGCATTTTTCTTGATTCTATATTATTTCCTTGGGGTACAGTGTTGTCAACACATCAGTACACAGAGTTCACATTGGCACTTTTCTTGATTCTATATTATTTCCTTAGGGTACAGTGTTGTCAACACATCAGTACACAGAGTTCACATTGGCACTTTTCTTGATTCTATATTATTTCCTTGGGGTACAGTGTTGTCAACACATCAGTACACAGAGTTCACGTTGGCACTTTTCTGGGCTCTCTGTACCTAACTTACTATTATAGCTACAACCACAATAAATCCCCTAAAAATACTTCTACAAGTTGCTCTGCACCATTTCAGAAATCTTTTGTCATTGGTAAGATGATAATAAACTGCTTGGACTTTGCTGTAGCCATTTAACCTTTTACAGACCAGAGACATCCCCCTGACTTTTTCTTTTCACAGTGAATATACAAAACCATGTTGCATGAAACGTGTATAGACTTGGAAAGTATTATCTGTTTTCTGCTTTAAAAAATATCTACAACTTTATGAAGTACTTCTATCATTTCCAGGTTGTGAAACTGTAAAATCTTGTTGTAAGTCACTGTCCTGAAATAACATGAAAAATCACTTCTTGTCACCTCAGAATTTTAGTTTTTTTAATTAAAAATTCCATCTTAGTCAGTTTCAACCTGACTAGATATTCCTTAATGTTTCTTTCAAAACTTTATTTTGTGATTGAAGTAGTCATCACCTCATAATAAAACCAGCAAATTTACAATGATTTATCAGTGACCTTTTCATTGAAAATATTATCAGTATTACCACTATCAGGTATCATGACTGTTTCTAACAAATATTCCTTTGAGAACAAATTAGCTATATTCAATTATTCAACAATACAAGTATTATAACAATACATAGATTAAAACAATACTGAAAGTGTTACAACAATTTTGGTTTTACCATTACTTTTATATGAATTTCACTGCAAAGAAAACTATATAAAAGAGCCCACAGAACTGTATACAATATGTTACTTACTCCCAATAGTACGTGATGTGGCCAGCAAACTTCTTCAGAGTCCTGAAATAATAAGCCACAATAAATTAATTATTTCTAATTGTTTTTTATTACTATAAAATGTATAAGAAAAATTTGATGGAAATAAAATAGGAAGAAGATCTATAAAATTTTCGATTCCATAATGAGTCTTCTTTATTAAGCCAGACATTGATTCCATAATGAGTCTTCTTTATTAAGCCAGACATTGATTCCATAATGAGTCTTCTTTATTAAGCCAGACATTGATTCCATAATGAGTCTTCTTTATTAAGCCAGACATTGATTCCATAATGAGTCTTCTTTATTAAGCCAGACATTGATTCCATAATGAGTCTTCTTCATTAAGCCAGATATTGACTCCATAATGATTCTTCTTTATTAAGCCAGATATTGATTCCATAATGAGTCTTCTTCATTAAGCCAGATATTTTACTAAAAAATTAGAACTAGTCTAGAAACTTAGCTATTAATAAGTTGGCACAATGATGTTCAATAATAAAGCATACATACAGAGAAAGTCATCTTATACATACATACATATTTCTAAACTGGCTCAGGAAAACAATGCCAATCTTCAGATCCATCACATTTTTCAAGAGCTGATTTACACTTTCATGCACTGAAATATTATAGTTGAAACATAAATCAGCCAAATGTTTTACTAGTTTTCACACAGTGAAATATTATAGTTGAAACACAAATCAGCCAAATGTTTTACTAGTTTTCACACATTGAAATATTATAGTTGAAACACAAATCACCCAAATTTTTACTAGCTTTCACGCATTGAAATATTATAGTTGAAACATAAATCACCCAAATTTTTACTAGCTTTCACACAGTGAAATATTATAGTTCAAACATAAATCACCCAAATGTTTTACTAGCTTTCACACAGTGAAATATTATAGTTCAAACATAAATCACCCAAATTTTTACTAGCTTTCACACAGTGAAATATTATAGTTGAAACACAAATCAGCCAAATTTTACTAGCTTTCACACAGTGAAATATTATAGTTGAAACATAAATCAGCCAAATGTTTTACTAGCTTTTACACAAATACAATGAATCAGAATGTAACTGATTCCTTCTTGCATCTCTGTTCATTAAGTAAGTCATGATCACAAAATATCTTTATTCTTTGAAAAAGGGAGGAAGAAGTTAGAAACATAATCTAACTACAGTTAAATGTGGAAAATAAAACCTATGTCAGGAAACAAATAAGAAATATATAGAATTATGTTTGACTGAAAAATTAAGTTGTGTTTCTTGAATATTTTAAATTGTTATTGGTAAATTATAACAAATATGTATATAAAATAAAAGTCGGGAGACAGCTTTACGGAGTAATGAAGAAAATTTTATGATAAATGTACGACGTTTCGATAAAATTATGTCATCTTCAGATACAAGTAGTTTACTGAGACACATGAATAAATATACAGTATGGTACAAAGAGGTCACGTGAATGGAGACTGCTTCACAGTCTAGTATAGGTATCTTGGTACCCTGGGTGTTGGTTTAGGGTGGTGCTGTTTTGTTCAATTAAGATAGCTTCCTTTATTCTTTGTTTAAACAAAGAACCAAACATCAATCCCTCCCATGTTTACCACCATTGTAACTCAAAACACTACAGTATATCTATACAAAACACTGTAATTTTTTCTTAATTATGTTCAGTAAATCTGATTTCCAATTACTTCCAGTTTCTCCGATGTACAATTCTTGACAGTTATTGCACATTATTTTATAAATTACATTGGTTTTGTGTGATTCTATGTAATTTTTATTTCATAATGATTTTAGTTAAGGGCCAGGTTTTGGGGTGAATTTTATGTTTAATGGTAAGTTTTCTCCAAATGTTGATTATTTTTGAACTGATGTCAGAGATAAATGGTTAACTGCAGTATAATGTTGTACTGTTAATTGGTGTATTAGTGTCAATTTTGTTTGTGAGTTGAGTTTTGAGGTTTTTGTTCTGGTGGTTGTGTGTAAATTTGTTGGTGTGAATGAAGGAATGCTTTATAAAGTTGGTTTCTTCATCTATTTAGTCAGTTGAGCAAAATCTTGAAGCTGTGTCTATAAGGTTTTTTAATATATTGATATTTTGTTTGGATTCATGGGTGGAATTCCCGTGCAAGTGATTTCTTGGTGAATTTTGGTTTTGAACCATGTGATGGACCTAATAATGTTGAGGTTAAGAAAATATAATTGTTTGTTATTTTTGTGTTCAGTGGTGAATCTAATGTTGGGGTGAATGGAATTTATGTGTTCAAAAAAGTGTGTATGTGTTCAGTAGAAGTGAAACCAGCAAAGGTGTCATTGACATATCTGTACCAGTATAGGGGAGGATTCAGATTCTGTATTCAGAGCTTTATTTGTAACAACAAAATTTTAATGAATACAAGTGTATACAGATTTAAAGTAGAACATTAGTCAAGAAATTAGCTAAGTTCCTCTTGCTCTACTTGCCTACTGTTCTGGATCATTTCTCTATAATATCACATATGCATTCTTATGGAAAAGATAGTTGAAAAGTAAAACACATTATGTCAAGGAGGGCAACCATTAACAGGTCACGTGATACCTGGAGGCTACATGCTCTCTTATTTTCTAACAAGAATGAATGACCAAAACTGACATAGATAGTGCAATAATCCTGTGAGAAATTATATTATAGAACCTTGTACGTAGTGCTCTGCTCTTTACACCAATTTTTACATTTTTGTATGATTTAGTTTGTTACATGCCTTTCTATTATCAGTTTGATTTATCATAGTTTTTCATTTCTGTTACATACAGTTGCATGTTCTAATGCATGTTTTGTATATTTATTTCTATTCTATCAAATGTTAATTGCTTTCATTCCCTTTCTTATCTTATTTTGATATGATATAAATATATGCATGTATTTGTATATATATGATTGTGTGCTTATTTTTTAAGGGTTCATCCAGTTCCTTTTCATTCTGTTCTTTTATCATCTATTTCTACTTTAAAACTATGCCTTTTAGTTTTTTAACTTCTTCCATATCACATGCATTGGTTGGTATACTTATACAGTCATTACAAACACTCCCTGCCTACATAACATGTCTCTCTTCTTAGAAATAGTACCACACACATTTCTGGGTTTATCCTTGATTAAAACAAGGCTGCTCTTCAAAAGTGCTTGAACATCTGGATTGACTTCAATGTCTGAAACATTTTTTTCAGGATCCTAAATGCTACTATTTTTCATTATGGACCATGTTACACTAGGTAGCTATTATAATTTCTACTACATGGCTAAAGTAATTGGTTTGGAGGCCTTATTAATGTACACATAACGTGAAATATCAAATTACCACATGAATGAAATTATCAAAAAATACAAAAATTATAGGTTGATAAAGACTTTGCAAAAAGGAAATTGAGGTAGGAAATAAGAATAAAATTGAATAAGATCATTAAACTTATTCAAGGAATCAAAAGAACTTAAAAGTAGAGGAAAAGAAGCATATTTTAAATATTCTACTTGCATTAAACTCAGAAAAGTTAGAAAAGACTACATGTTAGATCCACACTTACAATAGTTGGTCCATGAAAGTACACAGTTTTCAACTTCTGCCAGAAGCGTCTAGGAGGAAATGTTGTTGTGAGATGGGGATTAACGTAATATTCCAGATACTTATCATACAGTGCAGACACCTGGAAAAAATATTTCATAGAAACTCAAACTGCTGGAGCAAAGAGGTGACAGTATGTAAGTTAATGCAAATAAATTACTTCAAAGCTAAATTTCTAGTTTGTAACTATTAGAAAACTGTGTAAGGTTGTCCACTTTTATCCTCTAAACAGTTTGTTACAATACTGGAATATATTACTCAAAGTATTAGGATATGATGAGCCCAGATAGTATGGTCTGTTCATGCTAAACTCATAAGTGACCTCCACTGTGAATTGTTGCAAAAAGTTTATAAAGGTCAATATTTGCCACAGAAATTCAGCAGAAGCCATGTTAACTCAATTAAATGATTCACGAGCCTTATAAAAGACACCAATGGTATGGATATCTATTCCATGGCAGTCCACAAATTTTTATCTAAAACAACTGTGGGTGTGCTGACAAAATGGATGTGTAATATCAATATGAAGTACAATTATGGCAGATAAATGTCACATATTCTCTTTCACAAATTGACAATAGTTTTCACCGACATTTTATACTATTACTTATAATCAACAGAAAGCCAAAGTTTTAATCTATCAAATGAAATATTATATTACGTTGGTTTCTGTGTAGAAATTTGTCTATTCCACCTCCAGATTGAAACTTTTTCTCCCAGGAATCACATTGACAAGCTTAGTTGAATTTTTAAAGGCTCCTTTCACGTAGTTAGAAAGCCAAAAAATTATGATAGTTATAGGACATTGTTTACTTTGTGCTTGTTATTATTCTGTGTTATGAGGTGTATTATTTAATTAGATAAAAAATTATTTACTGTAGTAGTACCATTAGAATAAAAAAGTAGGTTTAAGTTTCATTGAAAGTCTACAGCAAAAAAAAGGGGGACTTAGGTAAGTAATATATTTCTTGCTGTTCATGTGTATTCTTTAGTTATTGTTATAAAAGTAACTAAAATGTAAAAATTAGAAACTTATGAGCACTGTTTAGCACTAAGGAAACATACCTTGTCAGCCACCCCATTTTCTTTTTTAATCCATGTCGTGTACAAGTTCATAACCTTAGCACCAAGGTTTCTATGGAGGTAATGTACCGATGGACTGAAAGTTTCAGATGTCTCTGCAAGCCTTCTGATTTCCTATTAAAAATAGATATTTATATTAAGACACTTTAAACTGATAGTTAGACACACAATTATTTTACCTGGAAAGGTTAAAATAAAAGAATGATGTTAATCTAACACTTACCTGCAACATTATTTCTACATAGCAACTTGGATCCAGGACACAAATGTATGGGTACAATGACATACCTCGTTGACCTATTTACATATTAAAAGAATGATGTTAATCTAACACATACCTGCAACATTATTTCTACATAGCAACTTGGATCCAGGACACAAAGGTATGGGTACAATGACATACCTCGTTGACCTACTTACATACTAAAAGAATGATGTTAATCTAACACTTACCTGCAACATTATTTCTACATAGCAACTTGGATCCAGGACATAAAGGTATGGGTACAATGACATACCTCGTTGACCTATTTACATACTAAAAGAATGATGTTAATCTAACACTTACCTGCAACATTATTTCTACATAGCAACTTGGATCCAGGACATAAAGGTATGGTACAATGACATACCTC